ATGAAGAAGGGTCTAGGCCCGAAACGTCAGCCTTCCTGCTCCTCTGATGCTGCTTGGCCTGCTGTGTTTATCCAGCTCTACACCTTGTTATTCCAGTTACGGCAAGGCAGCTTTCCTCCTGTGCCTCAACCTGTCTTGGTAATAAAGGGCAACGGAGTACTGACCCATCTGTGCCCGTCGGGGTCGCGAGATCTTTCCACGCACCCAACTGAAGGGAAGCTGGTGCAGAACACTCACTCTGATGGTGGCGGTGAGGCAGATTCTTTATCCGAGCGGGGAGGGGTCAGCGAGATGGCACAACAGTCCAAAGATGTGCAGGCTCGATGGATTGGCCATGCTTAGATTGCCCATGGCGTTCAGGGATGTGTAGATGGGTTACAGGGAAAGGGTAATGGGTCTGGGGGGGGTCAGTGTGGACTTGTTGGCCCGAAGGGCCTGTTTCCACACTGTAGGGATTCTGTGATAAAACAAGAAAGAGAGAGATTCCAGAAAATGGGAGTGAGGGGGTTGGAGGCCCATGGCTCCCCAACTCCTAATGGGCAAAATATTTTCCTCATTTGTTGTCTCCTCTGAACTGTACCATTTCAGAGGGCAGTTAAAAACCAAACACCTTGCACTGGGGTAACAGCTAGGCCAGTCCAGGCCTAAGGAAGGAAGATTTCCTTTCCTAACGGGACGTCCATGAGCCCCTGTAGCGGGGTGGGCTGTGGGGTTTCATTACGATGATCAATCGAAGTTCACATTCCCCCCTTCCTGAGATCAGCTTGAGACCCCCACAGCTATCCTTCGGATTTAAATCCCCGGTGATTTGAACCCACGTCCACAGAGAATGACCTGGGGACCTCTGGGTTGCTGGGCCAGTGACACTGCCACAACTTGCACACAGATCACAGTTCTCACAGACAGGAACGAAGGGAGAAAAGGAACAGATGTAGACGCAAAGAGACAGAATTTATAAAATTCATTTGTGGGGCATGGACGTCACCTTCCAGGACCAGCATTTATTGCCCTGTCCCTAGTTGCCCCTTGAAAAGGTAGTGGGTGAGCTGCCTTCTTGAACTGCTACAGTCCAATGTGCTGTCGGTTAGACCCACAATGCGCTTAGGGATGGAATAACCTGGAATTAAGAATCTAATGATGACCATGAATCCATTGCCGATTGTCAGAAAAACCCATCTGGTTCACTAACATCCTTTAGGGAAGGAAACTGCCATCCTTACCTGGTCTAGCCTACATTTGACTCCAGACCCACAGCAATGTCATTGACTCTTAACTGCCCTCTGGGCAATTAGGGATGGGGCAATAAATGCTGGCCTGACCAGTGTTGCCCTCATCCCGTGAATGAATTTTTTTAAAGATTCCAGGATTTTGACCCAGGGACACTGAAGGGTCCAAATGTTAAGTCGATCAAATGTTAATGTTTGTGATGTACATATGGCACTTTTCCTGATAATATTCACAGAATGTAACTGCCTCCTCCCCTCAGCTCCCCTCTCCCAGCAGTCTCTCTTTTCAAGTGCTCTCACTACCTAATTAAACAATGCCCTTCACATGTATATCTGAACAGCAGAATTGACACCATCATGAACAGAAAAGAGCATAACTAATGTAGATAGCCAAAAGCTTCTCCCCAGGATAGGGGAGTCTAAAACTAGAGGGCATAGGTTTAAAGTGAGAGGGGAGAGATACAAAGAGGGGCAGTGTTTTCACACACAGTGGGTGGTGAATGTCTGGAATGAGCTGCCAGAAGTAGTGGTGGAGACAAATACAGGTTTGTCATTTAAGAAACTTTTGGACAGGTACACGGATGGGATAGATGTGGAGGGATATGGACCAAGCGTAGTCACATGGGCCTAGTTTAATTGTGAAACCTGGGCAGCATGGACGAGTTGGGCCGAAGGGCCTGTTTCCATGCTGTAAACCTCTAGAACTCTTAATAAGAAAGGGATGCAGATTGAGATTGAGATTGTGGACCCAAAGAGAATGGAGACCGAAACAACGCAAAGTGGATAGAGAGTGATTTCCAGTAGAGGAGCCAACAAGTCCCAGCTATCAGAGCACAGGTCCCTTTCACTCGGGGAAAGTGCAGGATGATCACAGCAGGTTGTTTGATGTGATCTCTTTGCAGGTGGAACTGGAGAGAGGGAAGACGCTCCACATTAAAGCTCTTGCGCTGGGAGACCTCAATGTGGCCGGGCAGAGGGAAGTGTTCTTCGAGATGAATGGTCAGCTTCGCTCGGTGCTGGTCAAGGACACTCAGGCCATGAAGGTAAGAGGGCATTGAGGGATAGAGGCTCCAGTATGGTCATCTGAGTACGGACGCTGCTCCAATCCAAACCGAAGGATGGAAGAATATTGATATATTTCCCAGTCAGGATGGGGAATGGCTCGGAGGGGAACTTTCAGGGGGTGGTGTTCTCATGTATCTGCTGCCCTTGTCCTTCTAGATGGAAGTGGTCGTGGATTTGGAAGGTGCTGTCTGAGGATCTTTGGTGAATTTCTGCAGTGCGTCTTGTAGATGGTACACACTGCTGCTACTGAGTGTCAGTGGGGGAGGGAGTGGGATGTTTGTGGATGTGGTGCCAATCAAAGCGGGGACTGCTTTGTCCTGGATGGTGCGGAGCTTCTTGAGTGTTGTTGGAGCTGCCCCCATCCAGGGGCAAGTGGGGAGTTTTCCTTCACACTCCTGACTTGTGCCTTGTAGATGGTGGACAGGCTTTGAGGAGTCAGGAGGTGAGTTACTCGCTGCTGGATTCCCAACTTCTGACCTGCTCTTGTAGCCCTTCTGTTTATGTGGTGAGTCTAGTTGAGTTTCTGGTCAATAGTAACCCCCAGGATGTTGATAGTAGGGGTTGCACTGCAACTGCTACAGGGATCCAGGGATGAAGCTGACGGGATTGCTGGACAGAGAACCAAATGATCCCAATTAAATCTGATTTGAGTTCGGTGATAGGTGAATTTTTGGTGAAGCAAAAGTTTTCAGCGATATGGGCCAAAGGCAGATATATGGACATATACACAGATTACTCATTGCCTCATTAAATAGGGTCTGGCAGAGGTTACACAGGCAGGGAGAGGGTGTGGGAATAGCAGAGGTTACACAGGCAGGGAGGGGGTGTTGGGACTGGCAGAGGTTACACAGGCAGGGAGGGGGTATCAGGGCTGGCAGAGGTTACACAAACAGGGAAGGGGTATCAGGGCTGGCAGAGGTTAAACAGGCAGGGAAGGGGTGTCAGGGCTGGCAGAGGTTTACACAGGCAGGGAGGGGATGTTGGGACTGGCAGAGGTTACACAGGCAGGTAGAGGGTGTGGGAATGGCAGAGGTTATACAGGCAGGGAGGGGGTGTCAGGGCTGGCAGAGGTTACACCGGCAGGGAGGGGGTGTCAGGGCTGGCAGAGGTTACACAGGCAGGGAGGGGGTGTCAGGGCTAGCAGAGGTTACACAGGCAGGGAGGGGGTGTCAGGGCTACAGGAGGCTCCATTCCACAGCCTGTATGTTGCCATGCACAGTTGCACTACACTCTGTGGTGACCCAGATGAGAGAAGTACAGTCCCAGTGAGAGGCAACTGGCCATGAATGGTTCTGAGGTGCTGGTTTGGTTTCAGTGTGTCACACAGGCAGCAACACGATGAATAGCGAGGTGTTAGGGCTCAGAGCGGTTTCAAATCTCAGAAACGAGGCAAAACCCACTCGAGCTGTGCTGTCCATTCATCAACGCAGAGTCAGCACCATGCTGGTACTACACTGCCCTCTGCTGCCCAGCAAGGGAACAGGCACTGCACTCTGCAGAGGGCATCCTCACTGACTTCAGTCCAACGGCTCTCACTGTATTGTGTCCAGGTGGGGCAATGTGAGAGAGACAGCAAACATTAACACCACCCTCAGCACAGTGGGTCAGAACTGAGGGAGCGCCGCACTGTCGGAGGGTCAGTGCTGAGGGAGCGCCGCACTGTCGGAGGGTCAGTGCTGAGGGAGAGCCGCACTGTCGGAGGGTCAGTACTGAGGGAGCGCTGCACTGTCGGAGAGTCAGTGCTGAGGGAGCGCCGCACTGTTTGATGTATGAAGAACAACTGGATCGGTTAAGATTATATTCACTGGGGATTTTGGATTCTAACAGGACTAAACAGGGTAAATACAGGAAGGAGGTTCTTGTCTGGGGTTTTGAAGAATGGACAATATAAGGAATAGGAGCAGGTGTAGGCCGTTCTGCCCGTCAAGCTTACCCTGCCATATCTCCGGCATTATAGCTGACCTGCCCCAGGCCTCAGCACCTTCTTACTGATAGTACCTCATGCCCCATAACTCCCCAATGTTTCAACAAATTCAACTCCCTGCTTCTCCAATACTTTGTTGTTTTGCTTCCGCAGTGTTCTGGGGCGGAGAATTGAAGCGTACAAGATTGTGAAGGGGTTGGACAGGGTCGACACTGGGATATTGGTTCCCAACCCCACCACAGTGAGGGAATCTGGGACACGGACGGCACAGTCTCGGGATAAGGCCCTGATTATTTCGGAGTGGGAAGAGGAGAAAAGGCTTCACTCAAAGGGATTGGAGGTCTCTCTCCCCAGACTGTTGTGGAGTCTCCACCATTAAGTATATTGAAGGCTGGGCCTATAAAGATATTTCATCTCTCGATGCACAGAGGCAGTGGAAAAGTGGATTATTTTTTATGGGTGTTGTTGGCCCAGCATTTATTGCCCATCCCTAATTGCCCTGAAAGGAAGTGGGGGTAGAATTGGGACCACATTCAGATCAGCCATGAGCTTATGGAATGATGGGACAGGGTCGAGGGGCAGAATGGCCTACTGCTGCTCCTAATCCCGGTCTTCTTAATGATGTCTGTGGATGCCTATTAAACCGGGGCACAGAGATGACGGGATGTCGCAGCACTATCTGACCATTCTCTTTCTGGTTTCTCTCTCCATCTCTCTCCTTCCCTCCTTTTCTATCTCTCTCCCTCCCTCAACCTCTTCCCTCTCTCACTGTCCCTCACACCCTCTCCCTCTCTCTCCTTCTCCTATTCTCTCTCTCCCTCTCCATCTTTCTCTATCTCCCACTCTCTCTTCTTCTCTGTGTCTCCTACTCTCCCATCTCTCCATCTCCGTTCCTGTCTTGGTGTCTTTCTCACCCTTTCATCCCCTCTTCTAACTCCTTTCAATCTCTCTCTGTCCCTTTCCGTCTCCCACTCTCTCTCTCCATTCCTCTCTCCCTCCCTTTCTCTCTCTGACCTTCTTGATCTCTCACTCCTTCTCTTCCCCTCTCTCCATCCCTCTCTCGTCCCCTCCCTCTCTCTTTCCATCCCTCCCTCCCTTTCTCTGTCTGCACCTCTCAATCTCTCTGTCTTTCTTTGTCCATCCTTCCCTCTCCCTCCCTCTTTCTCCATCCTTCTCCCTCTCTCTCCCTCCCTCTCCATCATCCCACTCTCCGTCCCTCTCTCCCTCTATCTCTATCCCTCTCTCTCCATCCCTCCCTCTCTCTCCATCCCTCTCTCTCCCCCCTCTCCATCCCTCCCTCTCCTGCCTCACAGGAGATGCACTTCCACCCGAAGGCGCTGAAGGATGTGAAGGGTCAGATCGGGGCCCCGATGCCAGGGAAGGTGCTGGATATTAAGGTGAAGGAGGGCAGCCGCATTGAGAAGGGGAAACAGCTGTGCGTGCTCAGTGCCATGAAGATGGAGACGGTGGTGAACTCTCCCATGTCAGGCACTGTCAAGAAAATCTACGTCACCCGCGACATGCACCTCGAGGGCGATGACCTCATCCTGGAAATCGAGTAGGCCCTAACCCCTACCATGACCCCTGACCTCCCTGACCCCTGCCTGCATTATGCCCCCAACCGCCTAACTTGGCCCCACCCCATACATTTCCTCCCATTCTGCCCTCTAACTCTCCCACTGTTCCCTGCCAACTCCTGTGTTAAGTCCATGAACAGACCTACACTGAGTCTGTCAAACAGACTGACTCACAACAAGCAATGGCTCACTTGCCCTCAGTTCCAAACTACAGCATCACAGGGTATTGGAACAGATCCCACTTGCCCCCATGTGGAGGCGTATATGGGAATCACCTTTCCCATTTCTGGCATTTTCATACAGTTCCCATGCCCTTCCCTAAGGCTCACACTCATGTACAGACCCTGAAGCTCTCTGCAAAGTATCAGCAGTCAACTTGATTTCTTGTCTATTTGTTCACGGGATGTGGGTGTTGCTGGCTGGGTCCAGCATTTATTGCCCATTCCTAGTTGCCCCTTGAGAAGGTGGTGGGGCGCTGCCTTCTTGAACCGCTGCAGTGCATGTGCTGTAGGTATACCCACAATGTCCTTAGGGAGGGAATTCCAGGATTGTGACCCAGTGACACTGAAGGAACAGCCGATGTATTTCCAAATCGGGATGGGGAGTGTCTCGGAGGGGAACTTGCAGGGGGTGGTGTTCCCATGTATCTGCTGCCCCTCGTCCTTCTAGATGGAAGTGGTGGTGGGTTTGGAAGGTGCTGTCTAAGGAGCCTCGGTGAGTTGCTGCAGGGCATCTTGTAGATGGTACACACTGCTGCGACTGAGCGTTGGTGGGTGGAGGGAGTGGAATGTTTGTGGATGTGGTGCCAATCAAAGTGGGGGCTGCTCTGTCCTGATTAATAGTCTATTGACTGACACTTTGGAGCCCAAATGGTTGATTTCGAAGATTAAACAAGGACAATACGCACTGGTGCCATCCAGTCACCCCCACCACCCCCAACACTGACACCCTGTGAACAGGGGAACCGTACGTATTGGTTAGACACAGAATCCCAGACCCTGTTCAGAATGGTCATTGCTCCCACAGTTCACACTAATCCCAGCACAAAGTGAGCAGGCCGCTCTCTATGGACAGGACCTGGCTTTGGTCTTTGTGCTGATGTTCCGACTCTAAACAGGGTCCAAACTCAGCCACATCCCCCACCCAGGGCAGGGATGGAGTGGTGGGGGCGAGGAGGGGGTGGGGGGGGTGCCATGTGCTGGGCAATTAGCCCCGAAACAGGTCGGTGAAGCACAGGTACGCCAAGAAAGTGCCAGAAGCCCCTGGCAATCCCTCTGCTGCTCTGGGAGAGGCCCCTTTAAGTGTGAGGGCATTGGTGGTGGTTGGGGTGGGGGGATGGTTTGGAGTGGGTGTGAAAAACCCAAAGACCTTACCCCCAACCCTAAACTCTGCTCAGCTCCCTGACCCACATTCCCCACAGGATCAGGCAGCAGACGGTGGGATCTGCTGGGAGGAATCCAGTGATCACCAACCCCTGTGTCACCTCCTTATCAGCCTGGTCACTGATTGTCCATTCTGTACAGGCTTCATTGACAGTAATATCCCCATCTCGCCCACTGGCATTGGCGCAGTGAGAGAGAGAGATGGTGTGGTTCTTACTGGTGTTGGCCATCCCAGATTGCCCAGATACCCCTCTTCCCCTTTGTATACTCCTCTCGGGGTGACATTAGATGGACGCTGGTCACTCTGAGAGTGACTGATAACTGGGAGTGGCCAGTCACTCTCTAGATGGACATTGGTCACTCTGGGAGTGGCCGGTCACTCTCTAGATGGACATTGGTCACTCTGGGAGTGACTGATCAGTCTTTGGTTGCTCAGTGGTCACTCTGGGAGTGGCCAGTCACTCTCTAGATGGACAGTGGTCACTCTGGGAGTGGCTGGTCACTCTCAAGGTGGACACTGGTCACTCTGGGAGTGACCGATCACTCTCTAAATGAACAATGGTCACTCTGGGAGTGGCTGGTCACTCTCTAGGTGGACACTGGTCACTCTGGGAGTGACCGATCACTCTCTAAATGAACAATGGTCACTCTGGGAGTGGCTGGTCACTCTCTAGATGGACACTGGTCACTCTGGGAGTGGCTGGAGTAGTTAGAGGTGTTGGGGATTGGCAAGAGGAGGTGGTTGGGGTAGGAGAGGAGCACCAAGGAACGAAAGTCTTGATTCTCTCCTGAACATTGACCAGTCTCCCCCTCCCCCAATTCATCCCACCTCCACACCCTCCCCCACCCCACTGAGACCACGAGGGAAGACTCCCAGTGCATTTGGGGAACCCTCTGCCCCCTTCCCTTCCCTTCCCATGATCCTGAAGGAAGCTGGAATGGTTCTGTCCAGCCACGGTTCTGAAATCTCCACCGGGAATTCCGTGAGAGCACGAGGAGATGAGCAGCTAATCTCGGTGGAAATTCCTTCTTCTCCCAGAGCAGCAGCTCACACACTGCCACCAAATGAATGGGTCAGTCCTGCGGGGCTGGGACATGCAATCTGATGTCTCCTTATTCATCTCCCACCCGCCCACGCAGCAGGAGAGGGAAAGAGGGAATTCTCCGAAGAAGATGGGATGAAGAGCCTGCGGGACAGGGCAGCATGGATTTGGAAACCGACCAGCACCAGGACACTGCCTCACGGCCATGTGTGACCGTTACGTCAATGCCCGTAGTTACCTTCTCCCCCCGCCCCCGATGACTGAGCCTTCCCAACGTCTGGGTGACATCGCTGCAAGGCCACCTTGGTGCCACCAATATTTCAGGCTCCACCACATTGTACATTGGGAAATAAACAGAAACCAAGAATGTATCATAAAATCCGCGTCGAGTTTAACAATAAAGCAACGTCTTACAGAAAAGAACAGAATGGCGGTGCTGGGACACCTGTCTGGTCCAGAGTCTTGGTGGGGAGCAATCCACAGTCGGGTCGACTATTCCTTTAGTTCTCCTTCTGCCCATCCCTAATTGCCCTCAAAACGAGTGGCTTGCTGTGGTTATGTCGGAGGGCAAGGAAGAGCCAGTTGCATTCCGCTCACAGACCACGATGTTACATCTGGGAAGGTATGAACAGAAGTAGGCTTCCATTCGGCCCATCGAACGTGCGGCACCACACAAACAGGCTGGCGGTCTTCATTCAATGGCTATACTCCGTTACCCACAGCCATGTAACATGCTTATACCCCAGAGACTGATTCAACTCCTTGTTCAACATACTCACTGATACACCCATTTTCCAGTCTGTCTGTGGGAGAGAGAGCACAATTCGTGTACCAGTCTAACTACACGGAGTGGGAAATGGGTGTACCACTCTAACACACACAGAATGGGGAATGGGTGTACCAGTCTAACACACACACAGTGGGGAATGGGTGTACCAGTCTAACACACACAGAGAGTGGGGAATGGGTGTACCAGTCTAACACACACAGAATGGGGAATGGGTGTACCAGTCTAAAACACACACTCGGTGGGGAATGGGTGTCGCAGTCCAACACACGCAGAGAGTGGGGAATGGGTGTACAAGTTTAACACACACATAGTGGGCAATGGGTGTACCATTCTAACACACAGAGAGTGGGGAATGGGTATACCAGTCTAACACACACAGAGTGGGGAATGGGTGTACCAGTCTAACACACACACGCAGTGCGGAAGGTGTACCAGTCTAACATACACAGAGTGGGGAATCGGTGTACCACTCTAACACACACAGAGAGTGGGGAATGGGTGTACCAGTCTAACACACACAGAATGGGGAATGAGTGTACCAGTCTAACACACACAGACTGCGGAATGGGTGTACCAGTCTGACACACAGAGAGTAGGGTATGGGTGTACCAGTCTAACACACACAGAGTGGGGAATGGGTGTACCACTCTAACACACAGAGTGGGGAATGGGTGTACCTGTTTAACACACACATAGTGGGCAATGGGTGTACCACTCTAACACACAGAGTGGGTAATGGGTGTACCAGTCTCACAAACAGATTGGGGAATGGGTGTACCAGTCTAACACACACAGAGTGGATAATGGGTGTGCCAGTCTAACACACACACTCGGTGGGGAATGGGTGTACCACTCGAACACACACACAGATTGGGGAATGGGTGTACCAGTTTAACACACACATAGTGGGCAATGGGTGTAGCATTCTAACACACAGAGAGTGGGGAATGGATATACCAGTCTAACACACACACGCAGTGCGGAAGGTGTACCAGACTAACATACACAGAGTGGGGAATGGGTGTACCAGTCTAACACACACAGAATGGGGAATGGGTGACCAGTCTAACACACAGAGAGTGGTGAATGGGTGTACCGGACTAACACACAGAGTGTGGGGAATGGGTGTAGCAGTCCGACACACACACAGTGGGGAATGGGTGTGCCAGTCTAACACAAACAGAGTGGGGAATGAGTGTACCAGACTAACACACACGCAGTGCAGAACGGGTACCAGTCTAACATACACTGAGTGGGGAATGTGTGTACCAATCTAACACACACAGAGAGTAGGGAATGGGTGGGCCAGTCTAACACACACACTCGGTGAGGAATGGCTGTCCCAGTCTAACACACACAGAGTGGGGAATGGGTGTACCATTCTAACACACAGAGCATGGGGATTGGGTGTACCAGTCTAACACACAGAGAGTGGGGAATGGGTGTACCAGTCTAACACCCACAGTGTGGGGAATGGGTGTACCAGTCTAACACACAGAGAGTGGGGAATGGGTGTACCAGTCTAACACACACAGAATGGGGAATGAGTGTACCAGTCTAACACACACAGAGTGGGGAATGGGTGTA